CAGAAAAGTTCTTGGATTTCAGGTATGTAACTTTCTTTTCTAACAATAAGTCCTATCAAACAACTTTACCCAGCATTTGTAACTTTATACACCCACTTCCAATGTACATTTGACGGCAATGTAAATGACAGCATATTCAAATGATCCCCTAAAAGAACCTGCTTTCATGCCTCCTCTTTAAAACTGCCCCCCACTTCTGCCACAGAATAAGTTCATCAGCTGCTAACATTATTCAGTATTTTCAGTTTTCATTTTCTGCTGGAGCCCCGACCTCCTGCTTCCATTTCAATTGTATGCTGCCCAATTTGGGTAAAGCCCTCAGAATGACTAATTTTGCAGGTGCATTACACAAGCAGGATTTATTGAGATAACACTCCATGGGGGCTTGCTAGGACAGCAGACTGGGTTAAATTTCTGCCTTTCAGAACAGTAGAAATTCTGGAAGGGAGAGTTATAAATTCAGGAACAAAGTTGAAAGAGAGTGAGCAAGCACCGATTGGCTGGCATTCTCAGAATTTGGCCACTATAACTGAAGGGCCTGCAAATTCAACATCATGGTACTTGTGGACAATGAGGGCATGTGCAAGAACTGAGTTTGGTTTTAGGATACCAGGAATATTATATTTCATAGAGGGAATTCATATCTATATGGCAGACCAAAATATTCCAAGTGGAACAGAAGAATGCAATAGCTAGAGCTGACTGTTCCTTTTAAGTAGCTCCTAAATGAAATACAGATTTTAAAACACTTTTGTAGACCACTTTGTATTTCCCCTAAATTATAGACCCTAGCTTATAGTTATGAAATAAGAGCCATGGTAGTACAGTGGTTATAATGCAGTATTGCAGGCTAATCCAGTTGACTGCCAGCTGCCTGCAATTTGGCTGTTCAAATCTCACCTGCTCAAGGTTGACTCAGCTTTTCATCCTTCTGAGGTCAGTAAAATGAGGACCCAGATTGTTGGGGGCAATAGGCTGACTCTGCTTAGAGCGGGCTGTAAAGCACTATGAAGCTGTATATAAGTCTAAATTCTATTGCTATTGCTATGAAATCATCCATTATGAATGGAAGCTGAGGCCTTAGTTACCTTTATTGAATGTTTTGTGGTTCTAATAGATACAAAGAAGACATCTACTCTGAAGGCCTCCGTCCCTGAGGTTTGGTTCTGTTATCTTCTCGGGACTTTTTCTGAATTGAATGAGGTCCTCCTTGGTGGGTGAAATGCAGCTCTGATCCGGCGACGGCTTTGTCGTTTAGTAGAGTAGGTCTTCTTCACCCTTCTACAATGAGATTTTTGCTTTGCAAGGAGGTTGTCCTTGTAGTAAGGGCTGACTTGCACTTTTACTGGAGGAGGAAGCCCTTTCTTGGAAGGCCTGCATCTTCTAGGAGCACTTTCGTCAAGAGAACTTTGGGCTGTTTTGAAAAAAGATGCCCCTGTATTCTTGCAGTTTCTGCTGGATCTCCTTAAAACAGAAGCAGATCCCTGATTGGAGTGGTGTGATTCTCGAAAAGCACAATTACTTTTGCTACCAGCAGAACTTGATTTTTTAGCAGCAGAAAGGGCTCGTTGACAGAGATTTGGTGTTCTTTCAACAGATTTACTTTGGCTGATGGATCGCCTCAATGGCTTTTGTCCTGCTTTTAATTTCCGATGGGATCTCTTGGGTTTTCTTCTAATTTTTCCAGCCTTCCAGCTCAAACTTTTTGCTTCTTCGGCTTTTCCCTTTATCTTTTCAGAAGCACACATCCCTGCCTTCTTTATCCTTGCAGCTTTCTCCAAGTTTCTGGATATCTTGGTTATCTTTTCCTGGTACTTTCTGACGACAAAAAAACTTGAGCCATTGCCACATGTCATACGCACCAGGGCACCTTTAGACACCAAGGACTGTAACTTCCTCTTAAGTCTTGGATAGTGCCTCCTCACATCATATCCCTTTGTACCAAGCACTTCCCTCAGCTCTGCAAAAGTGAGGCCATTGTGTGATTTACAGGATGCAATTGCTTCAATAATAAGCCCTGAGATGCTGGGCAGGGAATCAATGGATTTCCAAGGAATCAAGCTTTTCTTATTTTGCACTGAGTTTGCTACCATCAGGGTCTTGGTGGTGAAATTAGCAGTTTCTTTCTTTCTTTGACTGGACACTTTTCTTCTAGGAACCGGTGCCTGCATTCCTATAGGCATCATGTTCTCCTGGGTCATCATCATCTTTCTCATGGGACTTGTGCGTGCCTGCCTGCCGTTTCTCTGTGCCAAGCCTCTGCTGAGACAGAATCTTGTCCTTAGTGTCTTAACTATATGTATAGCAAAAGCTGACACAATGGAAGTACTTCATCTGGCTTCTGTTCCTAGCAACCAATCACAATGCTCGCTTCTGTCCTTGAGAACTCACCTTTCATAAACATTCCCCGCCCACCCTCACATTTTCATCCTATTCAAAAGTAGTTTAGACAGGGAGGCTCTTCTCGACATACCTTTGTATAATAGCAGAAAGCCTTTCTTTTTTGTGATGGCTTTTAATTGATCACATGAAGGAATGAAGAGCAAGAAGCTTTCCTGTTAATCAGGAGGAAAGGGTTGCATACGTCTCACACCATACGAACAGATCCGTCGAGCTGCATGCTTTCAGCAGAAGCAGTTGTTACACAAAGCACAGAAAAGGGTCAATAATAAAACAAAGAAATGAAAGGTCTCTAAGGCAAAGAAAGGAAACACAGCTAAAAACAGTTTGTGGATTGTGCCTTCAAGTCAGTCTTGATTGCTGGTGACTGCCTGGATCAGTCCCTGAAGTTTTCTTGGCAAGATTTCTGGAAGTGGCTTATCCTGTTATCTATAGTCTCTTGTTTCCTAGGGCTAAGAGAAGATTGGCCCAAGATCACCAAGCTGGGTCCATGCCAAAGGCTTGACTAAAGCTGACAGGTCTCCTGGTTTCCTCATCTGGTGCCATAACTACCAGATCAAACTGGCTCTCTGAAACCAGTTGATGCCAACACAATTCATGATACTTCTTCATAACTTTTTATTATTGCAAACCGTCCTTGCTTCCCTCATGTTGATATGTGAATTTATTCCTTTTTCCTTTAAAAAAACAACTTCTCAACTCTCTTCCTCAGGATCTCATCGGTTCTGTCTTTTTCTTCACCATCCTTCAGATGCATTTTTTTTCTTTGTCGTATGTTTTTATCCTCAATATATGACCTCAACCTAATTCATTTGTACTGATTACTCATTTTTGTAATTCATTCAGTTGGCTTAATGTGGTTGCCAAAGTACCCTATTTTCTGGATAATACATTAAACGAAAAAATTGGCTGCATCGGCTGAAGTCATGCAAGCCAATGAAGAAAAAGCTGAGAAAACTAAGGGTAACCAGGTAAAAGTAACCAAATTTAGCATGGTGTATCACTATAGGAGCTACATTTTAAGTGTCCCAATTACCAGTAGGTGTATTACATAAACCCAGGATCCCTGTACAACAGGGGTGTCAAACTCAATTTCACTGAGGGCTGCATCAGGGTTGTGTTGACCTCTGGGGGGGGGGGGGGGGGGGTGGGGGGGGGGCGGCCGGCTTGACATCACTCTGCCAGTGAAAACAGGCTCCCGAGCTCTGTTTTTGGCTTTGATGGCTTCCTGCAATCCTCTGCCAGCAAAAACAGGGCTCGGGAGGGCTGCCCGCAGCCTTCCCAAGCTCCATTTTTGCTGGCAGAGGCACCGCGGGCCTGTCCTTTGCTGTTTTCAGGGCAACCCCACAGGCCAAATCTAAGCACCCCATGGTCTGGATCCGGCCCCTGGGCCTTAAATTTGACCTCCCTGCCCTGGAAGAACAAAGACAACATATGGATTACCTGAGCAGTGGATAAAATCCTAGTATTCTTATTCATGCAGATGATCTCATTTTGATCAGTCAAATAGAATGGTGGTGATAAAGATTAAATGTTAAGTTAAAATACCGGAACAGACTCATGAATTTCTGAAGAATTCTTTGTATTTAAGAATACTGATATCAGAGGTGAGGAACCTGTGAATCTCCAGCTATTATTCTAAACAACAATCCCTAACACCTTTTGCAATTGGCAGTGCTGTTGGGAATTGTAGTTTAATGAACATTTGGAAGGCCATAGATTTTCCATGCTTGATATATGTCATCATAATGTGTCTTTGTCACAAGGTTCTGTAAGGAATCATCTGAACTTTAGAAACATTGCAAAATACAGAGTTTAACTGGCCATTATCTATATCTTTTATAAATCAAAAGCCAAAGAACAGATACCATATTAAGATTTTATCAACTGTCAATTCATGTGTTAACTTCATTCAATGGTGTTCAGAATTTCATTCAATTATTCAATTTTGCCAATTCTTTCAGAAACTGTGAGACTGTAAATCCTAGTCCTGCCTCAGGAACAAAGCCAGTTGAGTGACCTTGGGCCAGTCCCTCTCTCTCAGCCCTAGGAACGAGGCAATGTAAAACCATTTCTGAAATCTTGCCATGAAAACTGCAGGGACTTATACACACAACTCAGTCAGGTTTCCTTGCTTAGATAATAAGAGTTTTACTGTTCTAAACACCAAGTTGACAGACATCAAGCTATATTTTTGCTAGCTGATCTTCAACAGTGGGTTTGCTGTTATCTGGACAGAGGGGTTGACTGGAACTATGCTAAGTGCAAACTAATATGGAAATTACCCACGGTAATTTTATAACATAGTTGAGGCTGCAAAGTGACACAAACTACCTTGTCAAGGTAAATTAGATTCTGACTTGGTCTCACTAAGAAGAATCACTTTGGTTGTGGCGAATACTAAGCTTCTGTAAGGGGAATCAATGCTACTCTGCATATTGTTTAGGTGCATTTCCAGACTTATTAGGATAATGAAATGTTTTGATTGCCCTGGGTGATGGCTTGGGTCAAGAGACATACACATGCATATACTAGTAAAGATCTAGAAGCCTGCTTGGAGGGTAACCATAAATTGGAAGAAAATCATATTTAAATGATGAAATAACATGGAGACTTTATTAGTAGTACACATATGATTCCTTTTGTCCAACTGATTAAACAGATTTGGTGTATTACTGGGACAACCTTCAATATGCCGTAATTCCCTTCAAGAAACCTTTATGTGTCTAAGGGGAAAAGGATGCAATATTGTTTAAACAAAGGAGTGTAAAGTGTATGGCAACAAACCCTTATACATCTAGAATTTAAGTTTTGTTGGCAGTTTGGGGATGTAGAAGGACATATGATACAGGACTTATGAGTACAATTGAGCCCCAAATTTTTGTTGTTAAGCAAGACAGTTGTTAAGTGAGTTTTGCCTGATTTTATGACCTTTTTAGCCACAGTTGCTAAGTGAATCACTGCAGTTGTTAAGTTAGTAACACAGTTGTTAAGTGAATCTGGCTTCCCCGCTGATTTTGCTTCTCAGAAGGTCACAAAAGCTGATCACATAACCCCGGGACACTGCAGCCATCATAAATATAAGGCTGTTGTCAAGTGACTGTTTTTTGACCACATGACTATGGGAATGCTGCAACCGTCATAAGTGTGAAAAATGGTCATAAGTTATATTTTCCAATGCCACTTCAAACAGCCACTAAACCAACCGTTGTAAATTGAGCACTACCTCTACATGATTATTCTCCCAAAGCCAGAGATTATTAAATGCTTGAACAGGCGCTGCAAAAGTTGTGTAGAGAGAAGTCCCCTCTTTTAATTAAGAATTGTAACTTCTTAAAGATTTGTGAGTGAAACACCTTCCCCTAAATAGTAAAAGGGTACAACTTCCTCCCCATTGAAATTGGCCTGGACGGTAGTGACTTCACCATCCTGGTCAAAAATCACTTTTCCCTCACTGTAATCCAGAAAGACAACAATCTTTCCAGAGCCTTTTTGAAGCTTGTCAGAATCCGTTTCCAGTCGCCGAAGCCACCAGAGGCCCCTTTGCCAAATTAGTTCTTCGGGGACAAGTCTGAGGTAACTTTTTCTCTTCACAGACTTCCCGGCTAACCCAACAGCCCATTCCCTTTGCGTCCCATACTTCACTTCAAAGAAATGTCTCCCTGATCGGAATCCAGGAGACCCCAGCACACAGGGGCTGCTACTGAATCTCTCTGGATTGTCTGGCACAGCCTGGGGGACACCCACATTTTTCACAGTCTTTTTGTCTGGTGACACAACCAGTGATTCAAATGCCGTGTTTGAGTCAAACCTCACGTTAGCTGCAAGGAGAAAGATAGAACATCAGAAGCCAAACAAAATACTAGGAGAGCAACATCACTGAAAATGTTATGACCCACCCGCCTACCCCAAATTAGAGGGCCAAGAAAGGCCACAAAATATCCCAGCTTCATTTCCCATGCCTGCGTTCTTCTACATATTGATACGACGCATAAACACAAGGCTTTTTAATAGGGCTTTATGTAAAGATATATAGTGCGATAAAGGCCAACTGCTTCTTCAATGATGTTATAAAACTCTGCTTTCCTCAAACAAGTCAAGAGTTAAGGGATAGGTAAGAGGTGCACTAGTGGCTTTCTAGAAAACAAAATCCCTCACACTTCTCTCCCAAAAAGTCATGTTTATGAACAAAAGGATAATGTATGTACAGTATGTAATGTAAAATAATGTATGTTTAGGCACACACACATGCATATGTGATATGAGCTGTGGTGATGCAGTGGGTAGAATGGGGTATTGTAGGCAAACTCTGCTCACAGGCTGGAGTTCGAATCTCACTGGCTCAAGGCTGACACAGCCTTCCATCCTTCGGAAGGTCGGTAAAATGAGGACTCAGATTGCTGGGGGCAGCATGCTGACTCTGTAACCACTTAGAGAGTGGTGTAAAGCGGTGAATGAGTCTAAATGCAATTGCTATTGATCACAAATAATGGTTTCCTCAGTTCTCCAATATGGTTCATTTTTACCACTACCCTTTTTTTTTTAATTACAGGCGGTTAGTTTTCAAGAATCATTGTCAAAAAGGCTTCTGACCAGGGGTGGGATTCAAATTTTTTAACAACCGGTTCTGTGGGTGTGGCTTAGTTGGTGGGTGTGGCTTGGTGGTCATGTGATTGGGTGGACGTTGCTTGGTGGTCATGTTATTGGCTGGGCATGGCCAACTCATATCACTCACATCGAGGCACACATCTCCTCGCCTGGCCTCTCATGACTGTGGGGATGCTGCAATAGTCGTAAGTGTGAAAAATGGTCATAAGTCACTTTTTTCAGTGCCATTGTAATTTTGAATGGTCACTCCACACAAGCAAAGTACCAGCAAAGGAAGGGAAAAAAAACTCCAGAGACGTTCCTTAGACAGGAAGTCTAGTACTGTCAAGAATGTAATGGAGAGGCAGTTTCTGTAAGCAACACCAGAATGTTTCCTTCCTGCCTTCCTTACAGGATTAGGCCAGTAATTTCTTCTAACAACTGGTTCTCCGAACTGCTTAGAATGTTAACAACCAGTTCTAGCGAATAGGTGTGAACTGGTGGAATCCCACCCCTGCTTTTGGCCATTCAAAAAAGGAGACTTGGGCTGCCTACAGTTATGGGGTCACTGTTGCACTGTTTCTTGTATCCTGCTAGCCCATTTAAAAAACTATCCTGTACTCCAGCTAGCAGAGGCTGATAAACACTGCTCTGAGATGACAAATCCTAGCAGATCTTATACAGTCAAGGCCATGTTTGACTCTATTTATTTATTATTAGACTTCTATGCCACCCATCTCACCAAGATGACTCCTGACAGATTATACAGTGTCAGAATAAAGGAAAATGCCCACACAGCTGAAACTATAGTGAGGTGCAAGCCGGGAAAGCCAATGTTTGTTGGTTAAATTTCACATGACTCTGTTCTCCCTTCCCTCCGCAATAGATTTATTTATTTGATTTCTATCTCAACAAGAGACTCTGATGTTAGGAGTGCTCTTGTTGGATCATACAAAGGAAGCCAGGAAATATCTAGCAAATCCAAACTTAATTGCAATGAGCTTGTCTGGCATTATTGTTCAACTGACCCGACTGATCCTGGAGAAGGACACTCTTATTTAAGCCATCTCTTACCTTTCTTCCATTTCCCAGGGGGTGAAGCCAGAGCCTTTCCACCATTTTCCAGGTCAGCAAAAAAGCATAGTGTGAACAGGAGCATGCAAGAGACTCCTAAACATGAGGAGGAGAACACAAAGGCAAGAATAGCTAAGGCATTGTTTATATTGTCTTATAGATGCTAAAGTTTGGTTTACAGAAAAACTGGGCATAATTTAGCACTTGCTGTCAACATGTCCTGTACAGGTAGTCCTCAATTTACAATGGATTCCAAAAAAGCTACTTACTACCTGGATTTAAAGTACCAACATCTGGATCCACACACATACATCCACCCAGATCCACAACTCTGCCCATGGCCATATGAGTGCATTTTGATGACCTTTTTGCCATGTCCCGTGGTCACGTGACCACAATTTATGGCATTTTTAACAAAAACCAGCATCTACTTCCAGCTTCCGGCAAAAACTCCCATAACAAACAATGGGTTTGTTTAACAACTGTGGCATTGGCTTAACAACCATAGTGTTCTTTTTACAACCACTACATAAGTCTTATGATTGCTACAAAAAAGGTAATTAAGATTGGATGTAGTCATATGATGACCTGTTTAATGACTCTCATGAGTTACAACTGCAATTGTGGGTTCAATTATGGGCATGTCAAGAGTTGTGGTGGCGCAGTGGTTAGAATGCAGCATTGAGGTTAATTCTGCCAACTGCCAGCAGTTCAATTCTCACCAGTTCATGGTTGACTCAGCCATCCATCCTTCTGAGGTTGGTAAAATGAGGACTCTGATTGTTGCGGGGCAATATGCTGACACTGTAAACTCTTGGAGAGGACTGTAAAGCACTGTGAAGCGGTATATAGGTCTAAGTGCTATTGTTTATGCCTATAATGGCTGGCAGGTCTTGGGAACATTCTAACTTTTGTTCCCTTGTTAGCCAAATATAGTATTCTGTTTCATTTGTTTGGAGGAGATATTTGGAGAAGACTGACTGGTTGGCTGATAAATGCATGATGGGATGTATTTCCTTTTCTCTTCTAAGATAAATCTATCTTTCCCAGCAATCTATAGCGATCAGGACTTCACCAGTATATGAACAAAATATGACAAAAAGCATATAGTTATATGCTATGGCTCAGTGATGACCAAAGCAGAAAGAAAATGTTTTGCAACATATGAAGGCATTATCTTTATATTTTTATCCCATCTTTTTTAAAATATATAACTAGAAGGCAGCAAACATACCTAACGGAAGGGGAGTGTTTGATCAGACTGGGGAAATGTGTGCACCATATGATCAAAGGGGACACTGGAGTTGTCAAGATATTGCACAAAAGAGAGCTGAAAGTGTTGAAAGAGTAAAAGCAAATCACAGTCATGAATGTATGTATGTATGTATGTATGTATGTATGTATGTATGTGGATCTTTGGTTATTCGGGTTTTCTCCCGCGCAAGATTGGAAGTATCTAGGCAACGTTTCGATGAAGTCTCATTCATCATCTTCAGGCTTCTGCATTTTTGTATTCATTCAAGTAAAAAAGCTAAAAAAAGTAAAAAAGTAAAAAATAAGAAAAAAAGCAGTAAAAAAGCTGGAACACACTTCCTCACTAGTCCAACACATGAAAATCACAGGTCATAGCATCAACTTCAATGGCACCAAAACCCCAGCCACTATAGAAAACCCCAGCCACAGAATTATCAGAGAAGCCATAGAGATTGAAAAAAGACCTGAAAGCATGAATAGAAGAGATGATTCCACCAGACTGTCAATTATTTGGAAGCCTGCACTCACCAACAAAAAAATCTCCACACCAGTAGCCAGGCAAACACCTGGGCAGAAACAGATCCCCCCTGATACCTCCAGCTCAAACACACCCCAACCAGGCACCCAGATGAAACCTAGCTTCCTAACAAATGATAGCCGTCCATTTACTCGGAGTCAAGCTGCACTAAAGGCCTCCAATACAGGAACACAATGTTGCCAGCCAATCAAGACACAAAAAGAGTCGCAAAACAGACAGAAGATATTAGAAACACCTATCAAGCAGAACACAACAAACTCCATGACCAATAAACACAGACCAAGACTCACAGTCAATCAGGATGAAGAAAAAACCATTCTGGCACAGCAGTAGGCTGCCCTAAATTTAAAACTGAAACGGCTGTGAAAGTCTGACTCACAGACGAACACAATACAGAAGGCTGATGATGGCAGATGAGATTCTGCCGAAACGTTGCTACAACTTTAAAAGCACAACTACAATGACGTGGGAAAATACCCGAAGAAAGCTGAATACCATATAGATAGATAGATAGATAGATAGATAGATAGATAGATAGATAGATAGATAGATAGATGTAGATGTAGATGTAGATGTAGATGTAGATGTAGATGTAGATGTAGATGATATAGATATAGATATAGATATAGATATAGATATAGATAATCTTTACCTGTGAGTTTCCGCAGGACTTTCTTTGTTTGTTGGAAGTTCAAACTAAACTGGAAACCAGCAGAAAGGGACATGACCGTTATAAACTCTAGCTTCCTACAGAAAGAATAGAGAAAATGAGTAAATGATTAAGTGGATTAAAAACTTAGTTCAAGTGAATCCAGAGCATGACATATAATGTCATGGTTTTTTCATTCTGTTTTATACCATGTCATAATTTTTTTATTCTGTTTTTCTGTGAGTCATCTGACACAGTTCATTCTCAGATGAATGAACAATAAATAATATTTTGAAGACTTTTGTGAATTACAAAAGGATTGATATCCAAAACTGTCCTTCTGTTTTGCAATGAGTTGGTTGAACACTCAACCAACATTTCAGGAAGGATTGCATCACAGGTTTTCATAGAAGGACATGCAAAGTGTTGCACAATTCCACACAACAGGTTCCAAAAGACCTTGTGTAACAGTTTACGAAGTCTTCTGCTAGAATTTTATCTGTTTAGTGCAGGAAGTCCCCCGTTTAAGAACACCTGACTTTTAAAGTCAACCCCTGGATATTAACGGGCTTGCCTGTTTCAAAATGGCAGATGACCGACTTGTTACAGCACTTAAAATAGCAGATGGCTGACTGGTAACATGATCTCACACAAAATGGCAGATGACATTCTTCTTCCTTGAGCCCGCAAACCTCTGAAGCCATGCAATGCTTTCATGAGCATCATAAAGTAGTGTGTGTATTTTTTAGTACCATACACAGCCTGTTTTCAGTGGTATGTGCATAGTGCAGCTCCAGCAGTTTGATAGGTCTTGGAAGGTGAATGCCTTTTGCCACTTTAAGTTGGATAGTTTTGAGTTCAGGATGGTGAAAGATTGAATTCCAGTGGGTTCTCTTTGGATTGGGTTTTCCTCGCTGAAGGTCTGTTTCCTACAGAACTCAGGTTTTTTTTTTAAACAAATTTTATTAGTTTTTAAAGACAAACAAAACATAAAACATAAGAACATAAAACCTCTTTTCTGAAAGCTACTTGTAAATTTTAACAAGGCAAATAAAACATTGTATAATACAGCATAGTTCTAAATTATCACATTTCCATATAAACACATACATATCTTTTTCAAATTTCTCATTATTTCTCCCTTTACTTTTATTCAATTATATTTATTTTCTATATTTGTCTATTTTATATGTTTTTATTCATTATACTTATATTTTCATCTGACTTGTTTACAATTATTCTCTTCTAACATTCCTCCAAGGTTTTATTAATTCTCAATCAAACATAAAGACACAAAACACAAAACATAGAAACATAAAACTTCTTTTTGGAAAGTGGCTTAACCCCGGGTTACATCTTTTTGTACAGACCTAAATCAAATTCATGCTTATCTTGTATACCATTACTTATCTTATTTACCATTCTATATTTTCTATATAACTTCTCCCCTCTTTTCACTCTCTTAATTCTATTTTATTTATTTCATCTTAATTTAAATCATTATACTTGTATCTTTTGTCCATTCTTTTCCAATTATCTATTTATTTCTTCTCTTTAACACAAAATTTCTCCTGTAATCATTAATTGAAGTATGATGCCTTTCTATCTTTCCCCAAAATTTAACACTTAAAATAATACATAGTTTCCATTCTGATTCTGCTTAGTACACTCTACATACTACATTTTAAAATAAGAAAACAACAAACCTATAATATAGTTAGATATATAATTTCCATTCTGATTCTGCTTAATACATTTTAGATACTACATTTTAAAATAAGAAAGTAAGAGAATGATAAGTTTATAATGACATTAAAACAATAGCAAATTAAACTCTATCATTAAATCTTAAACATTTTACACATTCCCTTTAATATTTTATTAAATATTAAAGTCTATCATTAAATCTTAAGCATTTTGATATTTTAATGTTTTGTTAGATCTTATAATATTCCAATTTTCTATTTCAAATACAAATACTACAATACAATCTTGTGTACTTTTGCAGAATCTCTTTTTAATTGTACTTTACCCTTTGTCTCTTAAAAAAAATCTGCTTTTTCCCATCTTGTTTCAAGCCTTTATGACTTCTTTTCCCCTTTCCCCTTCCTTTCTTATCCAATCTGGCCTTTTTACCCCCTCCCCCTTAACCTCCGCCTTTTTAACCTCCCCTCTCTGTTGTATTCCTCTTTTCTGTTGCTTTCTGACATTGTATCGATTTTTCACCTTATTTTTCTCTTTCTTGGTTGTTTTTTTGAATCTTAAATTCTCCATTTTCCTTCCCCTATTCCTCCCTTCTTTCTTGGCTAAAGTTATTTGTCCATTAAAGATGGCTTCTTCTTCTTCTTGTTGTTGTATTTGCTGGTAGGTAGAAATCACCATTTCTAAGAAATGAAAAACAGATCCAAAAGAGCCCTTGCCTTCTTGTTCCTCTTCTTTTAATTTTTCAAATTCCATTTTTAATTCTTCCACAGATAATGCCATTGTAAGGTTTTTTCTTCTTCTTTTTTTTTTAAACAACCCAAATGTTTTTAATCTTAGAGTAGTTTCCAAAAGTCCCAAAGTCATCAAGCAATCCAAACAAACATGAAATGTTTCATTTAGCACCTTCTTCTCTTTACACTTTCTCCTCCTGGGGCAATATTGTGGTGGTCTCTCATGGAAAGAAGACACAACGCAAGGTTGTCCCGGGATGAGAGCTCAGAGCGAACTCTGAAACCCTCTTTTATTAGAAGCAATTTTTGTTATCATCCTATCACGAACGCATTACACCACACAATATGCACTGATCATTCGCATAAAGCATACAAGGCTGCAAAATTCAAGCTTGTTACAGTTCTGGTTTAGAAATGGCAACAATTTGTCCTTGTTCCTTGCTCCGTGTTCCAGCCAACCTCCGCAAGACTCCGTTGTCCTAGCACGTGCACAAAGAACAAAGAATCATAGATCCCACACAATATCAATTACAAAGTTCCAAAATATATTTTTGAAGTCTTATTGCAGTTAATCTCTAATCTTATAAATTCCAAGCCGTCTCCTCCAGCAAGATCTTAATGTTGTTGTTTTTTTACCTCTCCCTTCCCACTTATAGCAAAAAACTTTTGATTTTTACCTTCTGTGCCAAAGCAGGTTTTTCAATGTCCATTTGCTATCTCCGTAAGGAAGGAGAGTGAACTTTCCCTTTTAACACTTTCATTTGCCGCTTTCACAATCTCCTTTGGAAACAATATATCATTCAAAAAAAATTAAGTTCCAGGGTATTTAGATATATCTTAGAGTCCCGGTTCAGCCAAAAAAACTTTCACTTTCTGACACTTCCTCCTGCACGATCTTGTCCGGCTGAAGGTTTCTTTGTGCAGGCCATTGCTGACCGCCGCTCCACCGCCTTAGGAAAAAGGAGTCTAGCCAGCTGGGGAAAGGGGTTGCGATATCCCCAGACCCCTGCCCGGATCTCCTCTGTCTTCCATTACCTCTACGGGGTAACGACAGCCTCCAAACCCGGCTGGATCGGAGGCACTTCAGCAGCGAGCGCAGCAGGAACCGCGCACGATCGCGGATTCCTGCCGCCGCCGAAGCCTTGCCCAGAACTCAGTTTTAAGGTGTAAAACAAAGTAATCATTTTAAACTTTTAAAAAAGCAGTATTATTGTTTATCTCTGTGGTTTTATAAATTCTAATTAGCATTTCCTCATTATTCCACTTTTTTAGAGGAAAATAATGAATATGACAATAGAAGAAAAATAGGGAGAGGGGAATGGCATTTCTCAGAGTTTGTTTTAATCACTCAAAATCTAAGCCGCAACTTGTGACTACCAGTCCCAAGTTCCCAATTCCGTTATCCCAACTTGTTGATGAGACTACAGATAGTTCTCAATTTATGACCAGAATTGGGACCAGAATTTCAGTCACTAAGCAAATGCAGTTGCTAAGTAAATGATCATGTGACTGGACTCATTTTTATGATCAATTTTACTGTGATCATTAATAGCAATAGCACTTAGACTTACATACCATTTCAAAGTACTTTACAGCCCTCTCTAAGCAATTTACAGAGCTAGCATATTGCCCCCAACAATCTGGCTCCTCATTTTACCGACCTTGGAAGGATGGAAGGCTGAGTCAACCTTGAGCCTGGTGAGAACCGAATTGCTGGCAGAAGTAGCCTGCAGTACTGCATGCTAACCACTGTGCCACCACAGCTCTTAAGTAAACTTCCTCAGCTGTTAAGCAAATTACATGGCCATTAATTGAATCACACTGTCATTAAGCAAATCTGGCTTCCCCAATTGACTTTGCTTGATCAGAAGCTGGCTGAGAAGACTGCAAATCACAGTCATGTGATTGCAGGACAAGGCAACCTCTTAAATTGGATGGAAATGCCCACATTCCAATCACATGAACACGGGGTGTGTGTGTGTGTGTGTGTGTGTGTGACATAACTTCAAAGGTGGGTTATAAGTCACTTTTTTAGTGCCAGCATAACTTTAAACAAATGGTCAGAAGCTGAGGTCTATCTTTATTCAAATTTTCTCTTGAATAATTTTTTCCTTAAGAGATAAAAACTATTGTGCGGGATTATGCCTGAAAATAATCTGGCATGTATACACCAACAGCTGATGAAGCATTTAAGCACTGATGATCTCTACAAGGTTCATTTCACAAACAAATAATTGAACTGAGGGCAAATGAATAATGCTCTAGTCCAGCCTTTTTCTTCAATATGTTTTTCTAGGAATTAATGAGGTAAAAGGCATAAATGTTTCCAGTTAATTCAAAAATTTCAGTTGTGATAAAATGCAGAGCTTTGTGTGTCAACAGCCACAAAAAGCTTTTTGAGCCCTTGGAAAATAAAAGATCCTTTCCACATTCTATCTCCAGCTCAAGCTATTATGGGATTCACAAGCAAGGGTAAGTAATCAACATTTCTGGAAGAAAGCTGCGTTGTAAAATCTTACCTTCTTTTCAATTATGAGTCCTGGAGACTGTGTCTTCTCTGGGTCAAATGATGTCAGCCCTTCACTGAAGCTCCTTAAATACTCTCTCTGTCAAGGATATGGTTTCCTGTGTGGGATTAATGATTCTTTGTTCTTTGTGTACGTGCTAGGACAACAGAGCCTTGCGGAGGTTGGCTGGAACACGGAGCAAGGAACAAGGACAAATTGTTGCCATTTCTAAACCAGAAAGAGACCCCCACATTCCCGTTTCTCCTTTTTTTCAAAAGTGCAAACCAAACCATGCAGCCTGTTCTGCAGCATGTTTCAACTGGACATGCTGTATAGGAGGAAGAGGGATCAAAGGTTGGGTGTTTGATCAGAGGTCTTAGATGATGCAATTTCAGGAGATGTTACATGCTCATGTCAGGTTTCATAATCTTGAGCACAAGTTTATCACAGCAAAGAATTAAGAGTTCTCTGGCCCTTAAAGAGTAATACATTTTGGGGGCTTTAAGATACCCTAAAGATCTTACTTGCTTTTATTTTGAATAACAGAAGGTGGCTCATTCAGATAGTCCAGTATTTAATTATAGTATTTTTGCATATTCCACGTTTCTCTATGCTATCTGGGTGCCTTTAGAAGACAAGATACTTCCTCTCTCTCTCTGTATCTATCTATCTATCTATCTATCTATCTATCTATCTATCTATCTAT